AGGGCGATAATAGTAAAACTAGGGTCGATGTTTAGCCCTCCTGAAAATAAAGTGTTAATATTTTCGTATGACCTGAATTTTGACCAAAATAAACATCATGACCAATCTTTTCGATCTATAACATCCTGGCCCGAACTATACACCAAAATAAACAATTTGGCCAGATCCGACTTTTGACCGTTAACTTCGACGGTCAAACGCGTTGACTGTTGGTCAAACGCGTTGACTATTAGTCAACGCGCCATGTCACTGCCAACTCAGCAAGTTTCAATTAATTTTTTTTAATTTACACCTATTCCATTTTCTTTCCTTTATAATTTTCGGGACAAGGGGGTCGTGCGAGTTGTCCCGAAAATTGATTTTTTTCCGTCAAAATGATAAAGGAAAGAAAATGGAATAGGTGTAAATTAAAAAAAAATTAATTGAAACTTGCTGAGTTGACAGTGACATGACGCGTTGTTTAAGGGTCAACGCGTTTGACCGTCCAAGTTAACGGTCAAAAGTCGGATCTAGCCAAATTGTTTATTTTGGTGTATAGTTCGGGCCAGGATGTTATAGATCGAAAAGATTGGCCAGGATGTTTATTTTGGTCAAAGTTCAGGCCATACGAAAATATTAACCCAAAAATAAATGGATTACAAATGGCCCTTTGTTCCCTATGTGTCTCCAAATTGATGCTGATCTAAAAGCATCAATTTGCTTGACACATACCAATTCTGACTTGTGGAGAATGCCTTCGTGATTCGTGAATATATCAGTCGCCTGCTCTTCAGGACAGAAATAATGTAGAGTCATCGTCCCATCACTAACTAGATCAAGAGCTTAATGAACATTAATATCAATGTGCTTGGTGTGATCGCAAAGAACTGGATTGACACAAATGTGGAGCATTGGTGTTGTCCACAAAGAGATCCAACGGGAGAGAGCAGGTGATACCGAAATCACCAGGGAATCTTCAAAGTCAGATCAGTTTAGACACACCCTCGAACATGGATCTGTATTCGACTTCAGTAGGATTTCGAAACCTTATCATACTTCTTACAATGCCAAGAGATGAAAGGACCACCAAACTGAACACACCACTCAGATGTAGAATGATGGGTATCAATACACCGACAAAAGCTGAGTCATAATAAGCACGAAGTCGAAGATCCCCAGTTTAAGGAAAATAATACCAACATCATGAGTTCTTGCAGATAACATAGGATACCATGAACAACAACAAGGTGATCACTGTGGAGATCACTGATACGAGCACAGAACCGATACCCGTAGATATCAAAGTCATTCAGCTTGAAGAACGAATAAGAAAAGGGATGTTTAGGATTTTTGTTTGGGATATGGTGGAATTGAAAGTGAAATCTCAACACAAAGATGGGAGAAAGCTCTAACAATATAAAGGATAGAATCTCGACCACTATCAAGGGGAAAACTTGATTGATGTAGAGAAGAATTCACAAGTCTAAAGCTCAATGAACCAAGATAAAATGAATATTTTTCAAAACCTGATGACAAAACTTGGCGAGCCCCCTTTAAGTAGGTCTGGAAAAATAAACTAAACAAACAAGTAAAGTGCAATTTTCAAACTCATCCAGCCCCGATCCCCATTCGGATCGATTCAGATCCCCAATCGAGGGTTAATGCTCGCCGGAATGGGGGCTCTTCTGCCTCCACTCCCAGGTCGCCTCCTCAAGATCCCCAATCGTGGATTTGGTTGCTCTGGTGGGGGAATGTCGTCGAGAATCACATCAATCAGCCATGAACTGATTGATGACCAGAACAAGATAGGAGATATTAGGGCGAGTAGTAGATAAATAAATGAGACCGGCGACAATACTCTGATACACCTTTTTATAAGGTAGAAGCTCACCAGAGTCTTGACCAAGCTTTAAATTAAGCTCTATTGGGGTAGAAACCGGTTTGCAAACTGATGATCCTCAAGTAAATCAGAGATGTACTTACGTTGACTAAGCAATAGCCCCTTCAAATCATAAGTAAGCTCCAAGCCAAGGAAATACAACAAATCACCCAAGTCCTTGAGATTAAAAGAAGCATGAATACCTTCATTAAGACTATAAATGTCCACATGATATCATCAATTTAGAGGAGACGAGAAATAAGGTCGTCTGCAGACATCCCAAGTGTGAGGCGCCTATTTGAGACTATACAATGAACGATTGAGCCGGAAAATCTGATCTAATGTACTAAGATTGTATCCTGGATGATGTTCCATACAAATGACTTCCTCCAAATTCCCATGAAAAAATGCATTCTTCACATCCATCTGATTCAAAGGTCGTTGCTGAAGCGAAGCGACGACTAACAAGGTCCGAACGATATACATCTTAGTAACAGAAGAAAATGTCTCACTATAGTAAATCCCATAATCTTGAGTAAACGCTTGAGCAACCAACTTGGCTTTATACCGATCAAATGTAACATCTGGATGCATCTTGACCGTGTAAACCCACCGACAACCAACAATTGAGTTGAAGACGGAGGATGTGGCACTAGAGTCCACGTATTATTAGCATGCAAGGTTTCAAGTTCATGTAGCATAGCAGCCTCCCATACTGGATGACTCTTGGTCTGCCGATATTGTGTGTGAACAATGAATGAATAAACCCCATATGCCACATAGTCATGGAATTTCAAAGGAGGTAAACCCTGAGTAGACCGATGAGAGCAACATGGAAGAAGGTGCTCGACTTGAGCTGGAGGGTTGGAAGAAATCAAAACGGGCGAAAAACTGGAGGAAGAAATCAAACCTACAGATGAAGTAGGACCTGATGTGAAAGTTGGGGAGGAAGATCGGTAGGCAGGATATTAGACGAAGAAGAACCCAAGGAATGAAACATTATGTGTTCGAAAAAGACAAATGTACTGGCAGTGCGGATGCACTATAACAAAGGTTCATAGCATAAGTAACCTTTATGAATGCCACTATATTCTAGAAAAGCACATAGGGGAGTTTTTGGATATCAATTTGCTATGTTCTCGTTTAGGAAGAAGGGCAAAACATAGACAACCAAATACGCAAAGATGAGACTAGTCATCTCTAAACTTGGGGATGGGATACCGTCACTTCCCCCTAAGGGGTTGTGAATTTCGCTACCCACATCTTAACCTTCTATTTCATTCTCTTTCTTCCTATTTTCAAATTAACGATACAGATTGGATTAAGGGTATTTTTGGACGAAAAAAATTACCACATTAGATCATCACCATATTAATTACCCAAAACCCTACATTAATTCTATTTCTCCCCTCTCTCTCTCTCTCTCTCTCTCTCTCTCTCTACCGCCATCACCAACAAGTCTCTCTTCTTCTTCTTCATCTTCTTCCTCCCATCTCTTCCCTCTATCTCTCTCTCTGCCGCCAACACCGTCGGAGTCCTCCCGCCGCCCCGTTGCGCCCTCCGCCTCCCACCACCGCATCGCCACAGCCCTGTGCCGCAACCCTCCCACCGCCTCGTCTTGCCCTCCGCCTCCCACCACTGCCGCAACCTTCTCGCTGCAGCCCTCTCGCCGCCCTCCCACCACCGCTGCTTCGCCATCCCTCCGACGGTGGAGACACCACCTCTGCCTCCCACCACCACTGCCACGAGGTCCCTGCGCGATGTCACTAACTCCCCCTTTCCTCATCTTTTTTTTCTGATATGGTTTTTTATTTTATTTTAGACTAGTGGTACTGATTTTCACCTGGTAGCGTACCACTAGCATCTGGTAGCTGCTAGTGGTACTACCATATGGTAGTGCCCAAATCTTAGTGGTAGAGTACCACTGTCGTTTGGTATCACTACCATCTGGTAGGTGCTACTGGTACGTATCAAGGACTAGTGGTATCATACCAATGACTAGTGGTAGCGTACCAGTACTCACTGGTACGATACCATTGATAATTTTTATGTACCACTAGACAAAAATCATTACCATTAACGCATTGACGGAGTGGTACTTTTTTTTGTAGGTGCCTGGAGCGAGTATGATTAAAGGATTTCACCGGAGAAGGTCTGCCGCTCGGAGAAAAGCAGCCAATCGGAGTTAGTGGCTGCTGGAAAAGGAAGAGAGAGAAATATATTTGTGATATGATTTAAATTTTAAAATAAAAAAATGTATTAATATATGTTTTAATTCCCTAAAATGTAATTAATATAAAAAGGAAGCAATTAATAAGATTCTTTTTTGTACTACCCAAATTGCCCTTGATAGCGAAATTCACAACCCTCTTGAGGGATGTGACCGTATCACATGCCCTAAACTTGTCTTGCCAATTAAGATCGGTATTTTACTTATAAATCATGAATCTGTCATGTGCTTTCTCAATATAGAATTCACCTAAAGTATTAAAAATTATTTAACAATGCATATAAGAATGTGAGAATAGTATTTTATAAACTTTCTTTTATTACTTGTCATTTCTACTGATTTTTTCTCCGCTTGATAAATGGAAACCCACCTAACAAATTTTCAATCCCCTAATGAAATCAAATGAAATCCAAATCAAATCAATGCATCATAAAGAGATTCAAATGTCATTGAACCGTAAAGTCTGGCAATGGAACTATGTCGAAAGCTTGCATCTTTAAGGTCAAAACATTTATTTTTGACTGGCGTTTAATGATAAAGTTGAAAAAGAACAATCATTTGACAAATTCACCCATTTTTTCACCCTTTGGTAGATAGTAGAAGTCATAGTAACCAGTAATGGGAGTACCACATAGCACCTTTAACTTGAAAAAGAAACAGATCCACTGCCTTCCAAAACACACAAAAAGGGACCAACTTTGTAAATGCATAAGAAAAATTTACCAATGTGACAATTGTCATATATTGGCGGTCTATCACAGAATAAATATTCAAAAAATATTTTATGTCTCGTATGTGCTATATAATCAGCACAAAGACAACCAAAATAAGATTAATCGGCTTTCTAGATCAGCTGGAACTCAAAATAAGATCTATCTATAGAGTTACCTTCCTTAATCTCCGAAAGTAAGTGATAGTGATAATGCATCTTTGAAGATGAAGCCAAACAACATTTTTGACAAATACGAGAGAGTGAAAGGACTAGGGAGAACAAACAAATTGAAAAGGGAACACACACTCAAAAAAAGGAAAAGTGAACCAAAGACTTTTTTTTAGGTCATCTCAATTCTTCTTCACCCACTATCATCAGCAATCTATCCATCTCTCTATCTCATTCCATCCCCATTTTATTTTTGCCCCTTTTTTTGCAGAATCCCTTGTTCTTATGGAACCAAAAAAACAAGAGGTGCCCACTTTCGTAGTCCCATCTCAAAACCCAAACATGTCTGAGAAAAACATGAACACCACCACCAACAATAGTCAGTTAGTTGAGATCAAAGACGATAATAAGAACAAGAAGCAATTAGCTCCTAAGAGAAGTTCGAATAAAGATAGGCACAAGAAAGTGGATGGGAGAGGGAGAAGGATTCGGATGCCAGCTCTATGCGCGGCGAGAATCTTCCAGCTGACTCGAGAATTGGGTCATAAATCCGACGGAGAGACGATTCAGTGGCTTCTTCAGCAATCAGAGCCGTCAATCGTGGCGGCGACCGGGACGGGGACGATTCCAGCCTCTGCCCTCGCCACTGCAGGGTCCTCTGTTTCTGCTGCAGCAGAACAGGGGAGCTCTGTTTTCGCCGGCAACAATTGGACGGCAGCGGCGATGGTGAACGGCAATTTGGTCGGGAGATCGGGTCTGGGAAGTGGGTTCTGGCAATCCAGAACAGGGTTCATCGGGGGTAATAGTGGTAGTCAGGCGTCATCGGCGATAGTGGCCGGTGGGAGTTATAGCGACGGCGGGAAGATCGGCGGGTTTCATCAAGGTGGTGGCGGGATGGAATTTCCGAATGTGGGTTTGATGAGTTTTTACTCAATGTTTAGTGGGTCAGGTTTGAATCCCGGTTTGGAGCTCGGGCTTTCGCAGGACGGGTTGTTGAATTCTTCTTCTCATGGGTTCAGCCAGTTTTATCAGCAGATGGCTCATGGCCAAGCTGTCGCTGCCGCGGCTGCCGCGGCTGATTCGATGAATCTGAATCATAATCAGCAACAGGAGGAAGGGTCATCGGAGAAGGAAGAATCATCTCGTGGATCAAGGCATTAGGATTTAGGAATTGTGTTGTGTTTCCAGTTAGGTGAAATTAAAGGTGGCATCTTTTTTTAGATAGTATTTGATCTTGATATGGTTTTCTTGTTGCATTTGTACATTTACAGGTGGCGAAGTAGAGACTGAGGGAGAGAGCTTGGTGAGAAAGGTTTTTTGAGGATTGCAAATTTGAGTTTTGTTTTCTCCAAATACTTCCTTTGGTTGCGGGAATGTTTGTATGATAAGAGGATTTTGGAATATGGCTAGGGGAATCCTTCTTCAATTATCACATGGTTCACTACATCAATTTTCTTAGCTTGTTTTCAAAATAATTTTCTTTTTAATAACACATACGACGACCATATCGTTAAAAATATTCAAAAGAACCGATTCAATAAGATAGATATTTTGTGATTATAAATAAGAACCACTTTGATCTAGTATGTTTCTTCAAACCTTATCATATAGTTATTTAGAGCCTGTATTATGCAATTTGTAAGTGCAGTGAGACAAGTCATGCCTCAGCTATTTCTCCTGGTCTTTTATATTTTATTTCAACCTTATAATTTACACAATGACAACTCATCTAAATCATTTCATGGTAATTAACATCAATGGCTTACCGAAGTTTCATTCTAAGAGTTATAAGTTAATATGAAACAACGATCATCAACTCATAATCTATCATGTAACAAAATAAATAAATAAATATTGAGATATCCCATCATATTATCCAAATGACGAAATGTCTCCATTTCCTTATTGCATTTGCATGGTAACGCCAATGTTCTGTTTCTTTCTCTTTTCTCTCCCTTTTTTTCCTGTTATTGGGTGCATGACTTTCAACTTTCAAGTTTATCTGCTCGAGTGAGAGGATTGCCTTACATTGCTTATCCAGAAAGAGCCAAGAAATTATTTTCCTTTTTGGCGGCTTGTGGGCTGGCTGTTTTAATCAACACATGCCAAGAAACTGGACAAAACTCCATTGCAATTTGCAGCAGACGCCAGCGAAATGAAACTGAAACTGCCGCATCAGGACAAACACGTTGGAGGGGAAAATGGGAGACGGCCCCAAAATATATTTAAAAAAATTTCCAATAGCAAAGAATATCGATAGAGAGAATTAGAGATATACAGGAATGTCAATAAACTTTGTAGCTTGTGGGACGAACCCATTTTAAAGTGAAAATAGGTACCGGGTACCACTGAAATAGTTTTTATAGAGTTTCGTTCAAAATTTTGTCCATCTAATGTGGGAAAATTGCAAATTTTTCTTGCAATATAGTAATCAAACCCGCAATAGCAAGTATTCGATCTTTGTCCCATCAATGTGAGAAATCCCCGGATATACTGATTGGGTGTGAGACGGTATGAGTAAAATTTGCAAAAAAAAAAAAAAATTTAATGGGGTGTGGTAGATTTGGTTTTAGTATTCCCTCGCCACACTCATATCCATACTCGCCTCACCAAGGTTATTTCTTCATATATTAAAATTATAGCTATCATACTGTAACCTCTTAATGACGAGAATGATACTTTAAAAAAAATTTAAATAATTAAATATAATTGAGTAACAATCCAACCCAATTACTAATAATTTTTCCTCAATTCGCCCATCGCACTTTTGTTTCTTTCCCTTTTGCTAAGAAGATTATGTTGGTTATTTATTACTTAGTACATGTGTCAGAATCATAGATAAATGATTTGGATAGAATTATGCTTTATCTTATGAATTAATTGATATTTTAGGATAAGATGTTTTGAATTCGTATTGAGAATGGTCGCATCATTGTTGATTTTATGATTTATTAGACTCGATTAATGTTTTAATTGGAGATTTATATGTTAAATTCTAGGCGTAGTAATATATTGGATATACGTGGTAGATATTACTAAGGGGTATAAGATAACCACGACTATGAAAATGAGGTTGCAAAAATTCCCTGCATGGGTATGAGTTTGAATATTTAAAAATGAAAATGAAGATTATTCGGAGAAGTTCATCCCGCCCATTACCTTTCCTCCTCCCAATCAACATCGGTTTCTTCTGTTACAGTGATATGACGTGGGGGAATGACGTTTTTAGCACTCTTACTAAAGCAAGAATTCTCAAATGAAATAACGAAGGAAATAGCGAATAAAAGAACGAAAGCTACATATTTGTATTCCAATCTTCTATTATTAAACGAATGAACAATTACATATTTATAGGGTAGGAAATTTTGACAATCCCTTCTCCTTTTCCTACGGGGTCGACAATCCTTTCTTCCCTTTCCTAACCAAAATATGAAACCTATACTACAATGAAATAAATACTAAATCCTAAACACATACGTACTAGAAAATCCAAATCTAAAGAAAACAATTAAACATAAATAATTAATACCAATAATTCCTATAAAATACTAAAGATAAGCAATCCCAATTTTCTACGAACTGCTACGATGGCTCGATCTCGTAATATTCCTCCCTCCTTGAGCGCAACCTTGGCCTCAAGGTTGGTCATCGCAACCATCCTTAGCCTGGATCGAAAATGAAAAAGTTTCCTTGTAAATAATCGGTTGTCGCTGTGGACAACACAGATTTATAAATCCCGCCATATAATTTGGAAATTTTCCAACTATACCACCAAAAAAAAAAATTCCAAAAATACCACCTCTCCCACAAATCGTCACCCCCACCCCCCGATTAAGGTGAAAACCACCACCCCACCACGCAGTTTTCGTTCCTGACTTCAAAAGACCGCATGGTGATGGGGCGTTATGATAAACCGCAGGGGTACTGGGTAGTGGCAGTTGCCATGCAGAACACCCCCCCCCCCACCCCCACCCAATTGTTTGCATTAATTTTTTTTCCGTCCAATGATAAACTTAGGTCGAAACTTCAAACAAACTTAACTTTAAACTCGGATATCCGATTGTAGCAAAATTGTTTTTTTTATTCCGCATAACTTTTCGAGATCTTACACGTACCGTATTTTTTTACATATACATAACTTTCCATACCGTATTTTACTAACTATGATTGTGAGCTCACAAATGTACTACTAGTTCATTTTGTTGGCTATCTAAGGGTAAGAAAGTAGATTGAGTTTTTAAATTCTAAATCCCAAACTCTTAAATCCATGATCAAATCATCTCAACAAACAAAAAATTGTTTCAAAGCCTTAATAAATCTTTGGATTTTTAAATTACAAAACCATCATATTGAAAGCAAACGAACTGTAACACCCTATTTCGGCCGGACTCTACTTTTACCAAAATACCCTTAGTAAACCGTTAACCAAAACCATAATAGAAAATGCTTTGAAATTCAAGTCATAATTTCTTGAAACTTGCGCACACGAAAAACACAAACATACTTAATAAATGCACATCAAGTCTCGATCCTACTAAGTACATAAGAATTTAATTCCTTACACTAGAGTCCGCTGGAGCCTTGAACCTCGTCATGACCAAATTGTCTCCTTTAGTGCACTCCTGATTACCCTACAATCTCTGAGTGCGGGCGTTGGGGTCAGTCCTAGTCCTAGTTCCATTCTTTACGTAATATAAAATTATCCACATGCATAGTGAGTGAAAATGCTCATGCATTAAAACATTTACTTGACTTGAAAATGTTTTCTTGATAAGGGGGCCCAACTCAACTTAACTAGCACAACCGCCCGACCACCAAAACGTGATAATCATGATAAACTTGATAACTTCCTCACAATGGGAATTGAGCTTGATAAACTTGATAAAATCGACTCCCTCACAATGGGAAGTGAGCTTCATAAACTTGATAAGGTCAACTTCCTCGCCATGGGAAGGAAGGTGGTCGCAGGCGTAGCTAGTTAGGTGAGTTTTAAAACTTGTTCTTGCTTGCTTGTAAACTTGAATAATCGAGTAGTCTTGCTCTACTGATCCTCCGCGCGATGGGAAGATCTAAGCTAAGCACATTATAAAGTAACTTGCGTTTCCTTGTCTTAAAACATAACCTTCTAATGCAATGTCATGCTCGCATAAATTGAGAATGAACATAATTCGTAGCTTAAACATGAATCTTATAAGTGCATAACCGAAATGTAAATAGCATGTAAGAGCATATCATATAACTCAAGTAGAGTGCATCATCAAAGAACATAATAAATATTTTGAATGGAATACTAACTAGCCCCTTAAACCACTCACCACCTTAGTCGATTGACTTGAATTCGTGAGGGGTCATTTCTATCCATGTCCATTCCTTCTGATCGCTACTTGATCCCGTACGCTTCCATGTATATATGAGCAAACCAGCTCAAGAATCCATGCACCTCACCTGCTTACTCATTGGGGTTCCTTTCACCAAACGAATTAACATTATGAATTCTTATACGGATGTATAGCTTTCGGTACGAAAACGCAAGAAACTTAGCTTATATCCATGGACGTCTCCTCCAGCGACCTTTTGCAGCTTCATCCCCTGTTGGTTTGATAATTCGCTTCCTATAAAGGCTCCTCAATCCCTTTCGATCCCCGTAATTGCAGCAAGCGATGGTATTTCTCTTGTCCTTCCTCCTCACATAATCGGCCTCGTGCATCCCGGTTGTCACTGTTCAAGCTTCATTGACGCCATCTCAATGCGACACTGTCACACCCTGGGAGGAAGAATAGTCTTGGTGAGTTGTTTGGTTACAGAGAAAGAGTAAGAAAGGGGAAGAAAGTCGAAGAAGAAGAAGAACAGGAAGAACAGGAGGAAGAAGAAACAGAGGAGAATACAGAGAAGGAAAGTAGAAGAGAAGAGATAGTGACTATGGCAGAAGAAGCAAATTGTGAAAATTGTTATTATTACAGCAGACCATTTCTTTTATATGTCTTCCTAATTACAAACTAGTCCCCAAACTATATCCTGATTACCCTTTGATCCCATTCGTTACAGACACCTCAACGGCAGGAAACGGTCGCTTCCGATCTCCCACGAGCTTGTCCTACTTATCGTCCTTGATCCTCCCCACCGAAACCTCTCGTACCATCCACCATCGTCACTCCCGGTTGTGAGATCGAGATAACTAAGAGGAGGCGCAACCGCCTTTTTGTGAGGGGAAACAAAAGAATGGGGCCGGTTTTCACCTTTCAAGGAGTTCTCTCAGCTGCTGCTCGTCACTTCCCTTAGGGTTTAGGCTAAATTTATAAGGTTTAATAGGAAGAGGGGTAATTTGGAGAATGAAAGTTTTTATGAGCAACCAGGTGTTACACGAACACTAGATTTAAATTTTGTGCAAATTCATATTTTATTACTTGACTCCACAATTAACACGAAAGAGTTATCTAGATTCAAATATATCCACTTCCATCTTTCCGAGAAAGATGCTTGATGGATGGGTTTTTTCCCCAAGAATAAAAGCTCGTCTAACATGTAGTACATGAATCAACTCATCTTCTTAAGAACT